TTTACTTCTTTTTACTTCTTTAAACTAAACTGCTTTACACTGATTGGTTGATTTTATCATCACAATGTTTTTCCACCAATCAGATCCAATCATAGTCAAGTAACATTTTCTTGTATATTAGTAACATTTTCTTGTATATTATTCCCACATGGACTGGGCTAATCCAGATCAAGGCAGCACAATAAAACTATTTAAACAACAATGCAAGCTATATTTCTCTGTCAAAGAGGTAAAGAAAGAGAAACAAGTAGACCATATCTTATTATTTACCAACGCTAATGGCATTAAAATGTTTAACTCATGGGGATTAACGAGGCGGAAGAAAAAACCCCAGATGGTTGTATGGAACAAATTCATTTCGCATATTCCGCCAAGAGAAAATTTTAGAGTAGCACGGCTTTATTTACAAAAACTTTGTCAGCAAGAAAATGAGAGTGTCGACGAGTTTGTCACGAGGTTGAAGTTACAAGTCTTCAAGTGTAGCATGCGCGATGACAAAGAATTTGAAGACAGAGTGACAGAACAATTAATTGCTGGAACGCATCACAATGAATTGCCAAAACAGCTCTTACAATGGATAAATCGTCGAGCTTGACCAAAGCAATTGTACTTGGAAAGATGCAAGAAGCCAGCCACTCTTGCACATGTACAATGCAAAAAAGCTCTGGTAAACAAAGTTTGAAGAGAAGAAACCTGTGGTAGTTGTGGAAGGCTCCATTCAGTCTCCGAGAGATAAATGCCCAGCATTTGGTACAACATGTCATCAGTGCAAGAAACAAAATCACTGCAAGAAAATGTGTACTTCAAAATTGGCAAATGGACCAACAAAAGACCATTTTGGTTCCAAAAGTTGCTTGAAGTATCCTTGCAGAAAAAACAATGAATGACGAGATGTATATGATATTAGAAAGGAAGATACCAGTGACGATAACCTATCCGAGGAAATGACAATAAACGATTAGTTGTAGTGCTCAAGGACGTTGGGTTATATATCAAAATATATATAAACATATATAGTATTGTATAATATTGTCATTAATTTGGTTGTTTCATGATATTCAAAAAAAGAAAAAAGGGAGATGTACTATATATGTAATTGAATGTAATTATGTACATAAATTAGTCTAGTATGTAGGATTCAACAGTATACAATTATTGGGACTTCATGCTGTAAACATCATTAAAATCTTTCACAGTGGTGGGAGAGCCATATAGGATAGCCTATAGTATGTAAAGCTTAAAGTAAGCATTTTCTGTTGAACATATATTAACAAGAAAGATAGAATTTGTCAAGGTGAGTGCACATCACCTACAATTAACTTAACAGAACTTATACTGTAGCAAAGAAATAAATCAATGCATGGCTAGAAATGAAGGACAGTCAGCACCACACATTGCACTTCACATGAGTGAATATATTTTGCATTTTATGCCTTTTATTTAGTCTTATTTTGAATATTGAGTATGTCTTTTTATCATTTGTTGCAGAATTTGAGTACGGCCGACTTTTATGCAAGGGACATCTCGTAAAGGGACGATTTCCACTGCAACGAGAGAATTATTCGAGGTTGAGAGGGTTATTTCGAGGAAAGATTGTCGTGGAAAGGTATGAACATTACTTGTTTGACATTTCACTCGAGACAAGGCCAGTCATTAAATAAACATACCTTAATATGTTTTGTAAACTTTGTCAATCATAAATCTTTACACCTTTTCATATTTAAATATCCAGCAAATACCTGTGCAGGACACAATGTTTATACTTCTCTTGTCTTGCTTTGTTTATGCCACTGCAGATGGAATATTATGTGAAGTGCAAGGGCTACTCAAGTTTAGAAAACACATGGGAACTTGAAGAACATTTAAATGCTGCCACAATAAGGTATTAATCCTATATATTCTTTTTAGTCAATAATTATTTACAAATATCTATATAATTTGAGCATAGGTATCTCATTGGTTATAATATGATTTCACACAGTTCCTGTGTGCTGTCCTTTATTATCATGCTATATCTTACTGAATGCAGAGTTATACCTGTCCTATGAAGGGAAACGTCTATAAACTATAATATTTTCATTCATTCGAAATCTCGATTTATCTGAAAGGGATCTATAACTATAGTTGTACTATGATATTTTGCTGTGTTGGTGTAATGTACTCAGGTGAATAAGCACCAGGCACGCTTGAAAAATATTGCATACTCGAACCAACCTGACCACGTAGCTCAGTTGGCAGAGCATTGGGCTAGTATTCCGAAGGTCGTAGGTTCGATTCCCACTGTGGCCAGGCATATTTTTCAATCCTGCCCGGTGTGGATACACTCAGAGTAACATCACACAAGCATATAGTTGTACTATTTTAATTAATTGTATTTTTGATAGGTCATTTGCAAATCCATCCGCATAATCAATACAGCAGGGAAAAGATGCTTTGGCCTGTGGAATGTTGGAGCAACTAAAATCAAGGAGTGTTCTTCCCACAGTCATTCCTTTTCATCATGATGTTTTCGAGTACTTTTTTGGTGGGAAGGGTGAAAAAAGCAATGAGCGGGGGGCTATACTTTTGAATGAAGCTGACTTTGATGCATGCGATTTACCAAAAGATTGGGATAACGTAGTGGACCACATAGGAGATGGCTTGAGGATAGATTTTCCTGTGAAGATTCACCCTTTCCTGTCATGGAGCCAGAAGACTAGTGCTTTGGTTGGAGGAAACATTTGTGCCATCTCCCAGATATCGTCCGGAGAAGATTAGTATTTCCATTTGTAAAACAGCATTTAGTTTATCATAAAATAGACTAAATGCTGTTTTTCTGCTGAGAAGAGTAGGTTATCCAACTAGAAGTTAGTGACTTGCTGACAAAAGGCGCTTACTCGAAACGTCGAAGAAATTAATATATTCTTATTTTTCAGGAGTTGGATAACCTACTCTTCTCAGCTACTATTCGCATCGCTACCTACACTGGCACTTGCCTCGCATTCGCAAGATTATATTAATAGAAATCTTGCCGCTGTGTTCCCTGGTGGTACAAAATTTGATTTGATGTGTTACATATATTATTTAATTTAACCCATTTCTGACCAGTCTGAAAGGACCTTTTTATAATTTTTGAGAAACAGCATGGGGGGAGGTTGTTACCAGCTGAGGCCTTGGTCTGAATGGGTTAAGTTTATAATATTAATTTATATGTAATATATGAACAACGAGAGCGAGTGTTTCACCGGGATATCCAAACACGAGAAAACAATGTATGAGAACACGAGCGCGAAGCGCAAGCATTTTCATACATTGTTTTCGAGTGTTTGGATATCCCGGTGAGACACAAGCTCAAGTTGTTTATATGGCTTCTCAAATGAATCGAGATGTAACAGAATGTTTTCGTTTGCTGATTTGAATAGAATTCTTAACCAAGCATAACGTAATTAGGAATTCTATTCAAGTAATTTTGCATGCGTAATGAAGATATTTGATGAAAACACTAGTGACTTTCATCAAGTATCCAAATGGCATCTTGTGATCAAATAGGTGAATCATCATGAATTATTAATGAATTTGAGAAATAATATTGAACAGTTTGTGCCAGTGAAGGTAGTGAAGATAGCCCTTCATCAGGACTCTGACTGTTTGAAAGATCAAAGTTCTGCTAATATTATGTATTATAGTTACTTTGACCTGTCTGTGAACATGAACATGGATATAGTATTTAGGTTGACTTTCTTCGTTTGTTTCGAATTTCAGTTTCCCAGTAATCTGCATCTTTCTTGTTGTATGACCTCTTCATGTGTTCACTGTCACATAGTTACCACTGCCTGCATTCCAATTCGAGAACATCTGATGTAGGATTCTTATTATTGGATTTTAACAGAACCACTTTTCTTGCCACATCATTTTTTGAACCCCCTGTCCGGTGAAGATTTTGACTGATCGATACAACTGCTTAAATCTGGGTACATGGTAGACAAGTGAATGCATGTAAGGGGTCACTGATGCTCTGCTATATCCCTTGTGAATTGATGATGTTCTCAAAGATGTAAATAGATTTATCCATTTTTTTTCCTTTTGAAAAAAACTATCACAAATCTCAGGGGTAGTTGTGCTATTACTTGTCATTATTCTGTAGAGTTCATGAAAATCCTTCCAGATGTTAATAACTACATCACATGTTTCCGGCATGAGACACTCCGTCAACTTATGGGGAAGCTCAGCTACGAGAAGACTAGTAAAGTCTTATTGTCCAGATCCGTTTCCATCTTCATTTCTTTTCTCCCTAATGTCGAAAGTGACTCCGCAAGACCTGATGGTTGATTGCAATTTTTCTAATCTTGTATTTTTGTTGTTGAAATTTTCTTTTTTGTCCCAGGAAATCATTTCCTGAATTATGTTGTTCAATAAACATCCGTTACTCTAAGTAACAAAAGAAGCTCATCCAAAACAACATGGTCTAAATCAATCTTAATTAGCGGCTCGTGCACGCAAGAGTACTTGCCTTGAGTCAAGACATCTTGAATTTGTGATTTCAACAAATCTGTAAAAGATAACTGGGCACCATCTGCTTCACCAGGGGTTGGGATCACCTCACTGATATCATTCAGCTGCCCTCTCCTCTGTTTAACCAGGTAAGATTTGGGAATCATAGTTAGTTCATAGTAGAATGAATCACCAACACAAAATTTATCCAGGAGAAACAAACTTGTTCAATTTTTTCTTTGTCATAATCAGTCAAACTGTCAAAACCTTTGCTGCCATCAGTTGAATTACTGGTATTGTCGTCAACATAAAGATTGTAGAATATTCCCATCTGTTGTTCCATAGCTTTGATTCCTTTCAATTCTAGGCCAAATGATTTCATGAACCAGAGTGCAATTTTAGCATGTGACATAAATGTATTAAGTGTTCTTGACTTTTTTGCAACATTGGCCACATCCTTGCCCTTATTTTGAAAAGTTTGTTTATTTTCAAGACAATTAATGTAATCAAGAAGTTCCTTGTTTACATTGTGAAGATTTCTGATCTCTTCATCGTTAAGCGCAGTACCCCATCTCTGTATACAACTTCTTTTTCTTTGAGATTTTGGTAACTTTGCTGCCATTTCTCAAGCTTATTAGAGGCCGCCTCATTTTCTTTTTGCAGATCCTTGACTGAAATTACCATTCCCTCAAATACATGAAACCTTTTTGAACTAGCATCTAATTCCATTCTTTTCCTCCCTCCCTCCCTTTGCATTGTTGTATGCCGATTTGCCTTCCAACAATCTTTTGGAGGGATTCATTGACTTCATGTCTGATACATTTATCATTTGTGATGGCGAAGACATTTCCAGGTATAGAAAATTGAAAGAGATAAGCATAATCAAATTCTGGTGGATCCTTATTTGGGCAACAATCTTCAGCTGTATCATCTTCAGTCGTCTGCTTTCTTGAACTCTGGATAACCATATATTCTTGCCATAATTTTAGTAGTGGATATGGAATATCTACTGTGAATATTGGCTGCCTGGAAGTGGCTTTTGCTGCATATGCTAATGAGGGTCTTTCAATGCCTAATTTCCATTCCAACATTGATTTTACAAGAGGAATATCAGACATTTTAAAAACTTAGAACAGACGATAAATTAAAATCAATAACCCACACAACTTATTCTTGATCGATGTAGTGTTTGTAAACTATTTTATAAAGTTACCGACTCAAAATATTGTAAATATTTCCAATTAATGCGCTATTATGTACCTCCTTTTATCGGCCAGCGGCCATTAACATTAATGTTTACAAAATGGTGTGAAAGAATACAGTTGTACGATCGAAATTTTGGAGAATTTCACAGCTGTTCATCAGTACAAGCTCTTCGGTTGTGAGAATTCAAGCTTGCAGTTTGTTAAAAAAAGAGACGATTTTAAAACCATTTGGCCGTACGAATACAAGCTAAGGAGGTTCTAAAGCAACGCAAAATGACAGTTTGAACATCGTATAGGAAATATAGACGTGGGCGTTTTGTCTGACTTTTTCTTGAACTACACTATACCCGGCTGAACATAGCAACCAAAGGGGATTTCACCGTTTTAAATGGAGTTTACATTACCAAAAAATATTGGCAAATGGAGTTACTCAGGCCAGATAACAGCACATCGTGAGATGTCGAGAGTTTGCAAGACAACATTATTGAGGTATTTTATAGATTTGTAGATGTGGGCAACTTGAAAATTTCACACTCTTTCTGTATGTGCATCGATTTTATATTTTTATACTATTAAAGCTCTATATTTCCGCCATCTTGAATTCCTAAAATTTGTTAGTTCTGCAAACACATTGTTACATTGACAAAGCCAACTGCCATACTGTCCTTCATTTCTAGCCATGGTTCGGCTTAGAAGTACTTTAATGTCTGGTTTTTTAATCCAACTGAAAGTGACATATGTTGTAGACCACTGATCACTGCCATAGGTGTGGTTTTGTCAGCAAAGGTGGCTCTGCACTGTTAAAATATGCTCAAAAACGTTCATTAAGATGTTGCATGAAACAACACTAACTAGCCAGGCCCAGCAATCATTGCAAGCATTAATTAATTTATGCTTTTGTTTTGGGACCATGTTTAGAGGCTCCTCCCTACTTGGTGTTTCAAGACTTGGACTTTATTGCCAGATGCACCACATAAAAAAAAACGGAAATAGCCTCGTTTTCACAATTGATACGAAAAAAGGTTTTTTGCTAATTGACTTTGCAATTTATTCGTTTGTTATGAATTTGGTCAGGATGATGCCAGACCCTACGGGATACTGCCCATAAATTCCGTGGACAAGAGACTTAAACTTGGGTGTGGTAGAGCAACTAGCCCAGTCGCTCTTGGACATGTGGATAATCGATAATAGTACAATCAAAATAGAAAATAGGTCAGAAAAAAAAATAGTAAAAAGCCAAAATTTAGTGTATGCACTCTCTTCAGCAACCTTGATAACATACTAAAAGTCCTCATGTATACTCTTGGAGCTTTCTGCATTATGACAAGTTTTTTGTTCGATTTCCCAAGTGAACTCCTATATTGTTAAAAAAGTGAAATTTCAGATTCATTTATAGGAAAAATAAGTTACATTATTAGAAAACTTACAAAAAACTACATATAAGACATTTAAACGGCTACCTTGATTTTGCAAGTTCTTCTTCAGTTATGAGCTGTTGGAAACGTGTTGTCAGACTAGTACCTGGGATTTTTGCCAGATTTTGGCCTATTTTTCACATTTGGAACAGCAATATCTCGAAAACCGCTTGAAAAATTTAGGTGACTGTTTAAATGTCTTATATGTAGTTTTTATGAGCTTTCTAGTGATGCGAGTCATTTTTGTTATGAGTGAACTTGAAATTTCATGTTTTTTAACAATATGGGAGTAATAGGGAAATAGAAAAAAACCTTGTCATAATGGAAAAAGCTCCAAGAGGATACATGGGGACTTTTAGTATATTGTTCAGGATAAATTAAATTATCGCATCTAACAATTTTTAGCTTTTTACTATTTTTTTCCAACCTTGGCCTTAAAATGAGCTAAAATTACTGAACTATAAATATTGACACTGGCTAGTAAGGGTAAACATACAATAGGAAAGTCAAGGACGGAAATCTTTGATTCATCATCATTATGGCCCGCACAAAGTTAAATAAAAAACTTGACATGATTTCTTGATGTATGTTATAGCTAAAAGTGTTCAAATGCAATGTTTCTGACTTGATCACATACATTAAGATGCAATTTCCGTCTCAAGCCATCCATAATATAAGATCTCTGACTACCGCTGTCAAATAGTATTCAAATTGTTGACGTTTTTGAGCTACCCTCCTTAGTGGCACGCACTACTGTCTGGAGGAGAACCGGTTTCTTATTTGTAATTTGAGACCCAGCAGCAGTAATTGTACAGTTTGTGCTTCCCAGCGGTGCAATTTTCGTTTCTTTGCTAGACTTATCACCACCAAGGTGCTACCTATCACATGTGGAAACTTTTGACTAGCTGTATCTCCCTGCTTTGATGTTTGCTAACTTTAAATCGCTCACTTGCTTCTCATACAACTATTTCTCACAACTCTCATTCACAAATCGTTCGGCAATTTAGACATCAAGAATCGGGATTAGCAAACTACTGTATTCTTTTGAGGATACTCCTTCCGCGTCTAATACTTGAAGGCGAAGAAGTTCATCCATGTGTGCGCTAATGACTTGCTGCGACTTTCCATACCTCGCTTGCAATAATTCAGTTGTGGAATTGCAGTTTGCTTTGGTAAGTGCAAGACCCTCAAATGCTTGGGCTGCTAGCCTTCTACTAAAGATTTTAAGTAATTATACTTATCTATTTTGGATAGTGCTTGATTCGAATTTACAGCAGAGTGATAACTGTCCCAGAAAGAACTCCACTTTGTCACATCATCTTTGAAATGAGTTAGTTGTAGTTTTGGTAATCTTGTTGATGTTGCGTTGACTGATCCAGCTCGAGTTGTTAGCTTTGACAGTTATCACAATGACCTTGATTTCCTTCTCAAGGTCTTTGATTTTTACTTCTTTAAGATCTTCGCGTCAAGTTTGTTTAGTGTTCTCTGTTCCTTTAGAGTTTTAGTTTCAAAGCATTAAGTTTTGTTGACGATTCACTTGATAAAATCGTACAGCCCAGGGGCCGTGCCGAATTGCGCATAAACACTGCAGACTTTCATTTACTGACATTGTATCACTAGTATTGGTTTCGTAGTTTCGATAAAACACTGCATCTGTTTGATATAGTGCCCCACATTGGGCACTATCTTACATGCCATTTTATGAAGGATGCCATTTTCGTTTCTTTGATTATATTAAAACGCAATTAGGTCAACAGACATGTTTACATTTTTACACACCAAAAACATCTACCAATAACAATCCCAATATTTTATGTTAAACCCTATATAGTCCAAGACTTTAAGATGATCCTCTATTATTGAATTTAAAGGGCACACTGCAATGACAATGTTTTTGTCAGCCTTAACAAGAAAAATTTGGGAAGAAACTGGAAGAGTATTGACTTCCCAAAACCAGTGGGGAAAAACAGCAACAACGTCGCCATGTAACAAGCATTCAAAACACTTCACCTGCAGCGGTTTTAACAATGTGACAAGTATCCAAAACACTTCACCTGGAGCGATTTTAACAATAACACATCGATTCATGCCTACTGCACTTAGTTTCAACCCAAAATAGCTAAATCTGGGCGAGATATGTTTCATGTAATTTTGACAATGTTTATGCAAATGTTCATTTCATAGGTCAGCGGTTAGAGGGTTTAAACCCAAACTTGGTCAGCATGTGCACAGTGGATGGGTGCATATCTGTGCAGAATTCGGTAATGATTAGGTGGGGGGAGGGGGTTTAAATTTCTCATGTTTGTTATGCATTTTCACCTTGATATACCTATTTTTTTTTAAACATATATAACAAAAAATGTTCAGCTCGAAGCATGTTTTGTTATGCAGCTAATTGCATTAAGGTTGAATGCCGACAAAGCTAAAAGCCAATTTATCATCGAGCCGACGGCGCAAAGCGCCGTGCGAGGGTACTAATTTAATTCCCCCGGCTATTTACACCCGGGGAAGTGAAAGCATTAGCGAAGTCTAAAGTTCATCAATTATCGCGGGCGTGGGTGACCAATGATGGGTGGTCATCCTCACTGATCTCAAAAATATGGCGGACTGTCATGAATAACGGATACTGATTGGTCCAATTTAAAGTTTGCATTATAACGACTGCATGACGACAGCATAATAGCAAACATTTCTTGATTTGATGATTGATAAATTTCTTGCAAATATATTTCATTTTTGCTTGCATTTTTGCAAGATTTTGTAAATTTCAAGAAAGAAAGGGGGAAATAATCGGCTAAAAGAAGGGAGCCAATGTTACTGAAGGTAAGTTTGTTTTAAATATTGATTTTATAATGGCTTTAAAACCCGACGGCCTTTGCGTATATGAACCAATTAAACAAGACAGCATATAATTTCAGTGTATCTTTAATATTGATTCCCTTTTTTATGATGTTGAATTTTTTAAATAAAAAAGAAAGCAAAGTTATTTACAAGCGAGAATTTGAAATCATTTTATTGCAAACTCAAAGTTTATCAATAAAGCCATTTTAAAAGGCAGTTTAGTTTTATAAAGAACACTAGTGACTTTAAAACGTTTTGCGAAGCGTTTGTGGTTGAATTTTACCTTAAAGTGAGGCTTATATTACGTATAATAACATACCTAACATATATATGTTGGGAAATTAATAATTTTGTAATTAAAAGTGATACTTCATTTTGATAGATACTTCATTTTGGGGAAAATACAATGATTTTGTCAGCAAGGCGAGGGTTTCTGCATGCATGTATTTTCTAGTTTATAAGTAATATCATGGTAATGAGGTGTATTAGCTGTTAAACCGCCCGCTCCTATCAGTCGTGACTGAATAGTTGGCCGTGATTGTAATATTGGTAGTTTAAACATGTATATTAACAAATAATAATGTAAGATTATTTGAGGTGTTTGAATTAAAAGTTGTTGTGGTTTTGAACGCGTGTGTATGTTGTTTTGACCTTATATGTAGATCACATTTGCATGCCAGGTGAGAAGAAGCTAATACGACCTCCTATGATGTCATTGAAGGTTGTATTAGTTCTTAAAAAACTCATTAATAATTCATGAAGAAAACACAAAGAAAAATCATAAGCGTGTCGTATCTGTATATGTGATACAGATTCGTGTTGATTTACATAAACTTTAACATTGATTTTCTCGGCTGAGATAAAATTTATTTTTAAAATTACTTCGCCAATTGTTAGTTGATTTTGTTCTAAAAATTTTTTTTGTTTATTTCGTCATTCCGCTGATATGGCGATTTCTTTGACAACTGCAACATATTTCTGAATTGTTTGAGTGAATTGCTCTTTATTATTAAAATATCCAAAATTAGAACAAAGCCGAACACAGTTTTGAAACTGACGTCTTTAGCTAATGTCCTGTGAAAATTTGAGAGAAATTCGATAAAACCTCAGTGGTAATTACTGCTTTTTAAACGAGTTGTTCTCCTGCCGGTTTTAACCAATTTTTTTCAAATTTTCACAGGACATAGCTAAAGACGTCAGTTGCAAAATTGTGTTCAGCTTTTTTTTAAATTTTGGATAGTTTAATAATAAAGAGCAATTCACTCAAACAACTCAGAAATATATTGCAGTCGTCAAAGAAATCGCCATATCAGCTGAATGATGAAATAAACAAAAATTTCCAAACACAATTTTTTAGAACAACTATTTTACTGTATAAAAATGATATTTTCATAAATATAACTTAAAACCAGCAGGAGCACAACTCAAAAGTGTAATGGTACAGTGATTTAAGATTTTCCTGAATAATTCTTACATTATTTTATTGTTTGTTAATTTCACAACTTTACCATATTGTGCATGCACTGGAGAACATTTGGTGAAAATTTGATGAAAATCGGATTGATATTGAGCGTGCAGTAGCAATTTTCCGCAAAACGCCAAAAAGGGTGTCCTGTAACCTTAAGAGTGTACAAATCCAGTTCAAGGCTGTACAAGTACAGATGTCAGTGTTCCAAAATCCCCAAGTCAATGGGAAAGTCCAAGAAGCAACTGCAGAAAACCTCCTCCCTCCCAATATTAATACACCAATGAGTTGCACCCACTGCTTTCTCTGTGGAGGAGGAAAGCACTGTGCCCGTACCTTTCATCGCCGAAACAACCAGCCAATGGATGTATTACAGAAACACTTTCCTGACTGTAAGTTGAAACACATTTCCAAATTGCTTGAAAATGGTTCCAAATTGAATCTTGAAGCAGCTAACAGAACATTGATTCCATAAGAAGGATGGGTGCAGTTGGAATTTCCACTAAAAGTGAAGTCACACAGCACCATAATGGTTCCTTTCCTTGTGACAAAAGAGAAAGTTGGAACCCCAATACTAGGATATAACGTTATTGAATTGTTTGTAAGACAATGTTGGTCTGTTTCAGAGAATGACATCTGAAACAGACCCAGACTGAAACAGACCCAGAAACACTGGAATGTCTGGTCGCAGCTTTCACAGGGAAAGGAGGAGGACCTAAGTGGGCTTGTCCATCTTATTAAAACTGTCAACACAGAAGGGTTGTGCTTTGTAAGATCATCAAAGAAAGATGTTTGTATACCCAAGTCACAAACAGTCTGCATACCATGTCAAGTAAACACTGGCCCAATTGACAGAAAGTGTCTGGGCAAACTGGGTTAGCAATTGAAGAAACAATAACATTTGTTAAACAAGGTACCTCAAGCAAGATTGATCTTAGAGTTGCTAACAAGACATGAAATTGTTCTTAGCCAGAAAACACCTCTCAGTAGATTGCAAATGATAAGATCTATCACATCAGCAGAAGTGAATCTGAAAGAAGGTACACAATGTAACACTGAAGTGACTGCAGACCAAGTAGAGAGACGAGTAGTAGCAACTACAAACCAGGTACTATGTGAAGAACTACCTGCTGTTGACCTGAGTCACCTTACACCAGCAGAACAAGAAAAGGCAAAGGTGATGTTACGTCGAGAATCAGAAGTATTTAAGAAGGATAGTGATGGATACGGACGTATCCCAGATGTCCAAATGAACCAGTTCAAAAGAACTACATATCTATACTGCGCCCATTATATCCCGGCCAGACCTACTAAATTCCAATTATATTCGGAAATCAAGATCTCCCTACCCAAGCAGTGTGGTGCGCATTCGAAAAACAATGATGGCATGAGACTACGCAAACTGAACAAAAAGACTATCCCCGACCGCCACCTCGTACCACACATGCAAGACACCTTAGACAACCTTGGTGGAAAGTCTTGGTTTCGACATTAGATCAGGGGAAGGCTTATCAGGGTTTTGTTCAGTCAGATAGTCAACCAATGACAGCATTCACAACTCCTTGGGGGCTGTATGAATGGGGTCCATATACCGTTCGCGTTCATGAATGCAGCTGCAACATCCCAGCGATTTATGGAGGACTGTTTACATGAATTGTGTGACGTGACATTATTGTCTTCTCAATGACATTTGACCAACACAAAGAAGAAAAGTCTTGTTACTCAGGCAAATTGTATGGACCCAAAAGGATTGGAAGCAGTGAAACAGGTGAAGGATTTCACATCACACACAATTGGGGAAATATGTAAAATAGCTGGACTGCTGGGAGTTTACCACTGAAAAATTCCAAACTTTTTAAAAAAAGTCAAACCAATATATGACTTGCTAAAGGGACCAGAGGAGAAGATGTCTAATCAAAAGAAACAAAGGGACAGCCTAGCTCAAAAACACCACCTATGAGCTGGATAGCAATACACCAAGATGCTTTAGAACATATAGTTGAGTGTGTTGCATCCCCACCCATCCTAGCATACCCACAACAGGGGCGGATCAATGCTCACCTCACAGGAGGGGTGCAGATTTCCCTGGGGGGGGGGGGGTGCATTGGTGCGCTGCCCTTACCAAAGGGGCTAGCTGACCAGGCTGTTGTAGATATTTTTGGCATATCGCAATAACCCCTGTTTTGTGACCCCTGCCCATGTGATCAACTGATCAAGTATTTAAGTCCCTGAGCTGGGAAGGACAATTAGAATGCTCAAATGCTCTGCTAGTACTTTGGTAACTAGCTAAATTAATGCACACAGTATATTTGCAAAGTAGCATTTATTAATTATTTAATAATTATTAATGAATAGTAGTATAAAGTTAGAAAATATATAGTTGTATAGCTTTTCAGTTTAGCTTCCTCAGAATATTTAAAATTCGTGAAAATCGTATAGTAACAAACTAACAAAGTTTTAAATAAATAAATGAAATAATGAATAGTTTTTTCAAGTTCTCAATTTAGTAATAAGTACATTATATATTTTATACAGTTAGACTAGTCAGGCAGTTAATGACTTGGACCTTAGCCCACCTATTGTGCATGTTTCCCCATGCTGTTACGACTTTGTCCAAATCCAGCAAATCAACAACATCTCTGTTTAACAAAATGCATAAAAGATCACTTAATCTTTCTGGACGAAGGGTGGATCGCAGCTTCGTGCAGATACGATTCATGCCGGGAAATGCTCTTTCCACTGAAGCGATTGATGTCGAGATGGTGTTCTTAACTGCAATTAAAGTGTTCAAGTTTGGAAGCCTCTTTGGATTTATTGGTAGACCAAGATGGTAATCAACTTCAGCTCTTTCGATTTCTAGTTTGAGGATAGATCTGTCAATGTTGAGACAGCTGAAGGTATTCAGTAGCACATCTAGTTCGCTTAAGACCAAGTAGGTATCTGAACCTTCATTAAGAGCATCGATAGCTCTAAGGATGTCTATGTTCTTAGAGTCAAATCTGACATTAAACTCATCGTTGAGTTTCTTCTTCAGCTCTGCATTGAGTTCTCCAATAAATTATTTTATCTGATGACCCTGATAATCGGGAGTCGTAACTGTTGTAGCTCTAGTGTTGTGGATAGGCATTGTGTCGCAGAGAGCTGAGGGGTTTCCAGTCTTTCTTGAAATTTCTTTTGACTCAATGAGTATGTCCTCGTCTTTGACGTTATTAATTGAATCCCGAGTTCGAGTCAGCTCGTATTGAACATCCGTCCAATCAATTTTTTCGGCCTGAAGTTCTTTATTAAGGAAGTATAGCTTGCCGACATACTTATGAAGTGTTGTCAGACCAACGATGAATTTTCCTGACATCAGTTTGTGGTACAGTCCAGCTGCTGTTTCTGCCTGCGCTTTTGTATACCCATACTCATCATCTCCCGAATCTTCATAATTTTCACCGGGGTTGTTTGCCACGTCTATCAGGGTTGTGAGGACAACATCAAATCTTTCAGATATAACATCAACGGCTTCGTATTTGCATCCCCAACAAATATCGATTTGCTGCGTAATATGTTTAACTTGTTTGCTACGATACATTTCTCTGTGGAGTGATTCGTACTTTTGTGTGATCTTCGGTTTATTGAGCCGTATATGGCAGGATTTTACTGTGGTCATAACATCTGTTGATGACAAAGACGCCTTTAACATGTCTCCCAGAACCAAATTCAAACGATGGGCAGTACAATGGATGTAAACAAGCCACTTAAAATACCTCGATCGAAGCAGTTCTGCGACTCCTGCTAACCGACCAGACATCACGCTAGCGCCATCTGCGCCAAGGCTGATAATAGGAGATCCCTTGGATTTCTGCTGGACTTTAGAGATCAGGTCTTTCGTCACTGCTGAAATAGCTTCTGCATCAAATTTGGTGAGTGCAGTCATGGACAGGAATCTCTCTTGTACCTCTCAGTATAGTAGCGAACAGAGAAAGCAAGCTCTTCTCGCTTGCCCTTGTCTTTGCTTTCGTCTATCAGTGCACAGAAGCAACCGGCAATTGCGATCTGATGGCATATCTGGTTCCGTATCTGAACCGTGAGTATAGACAGCATTTCATTGAGAGAGACGTTTTACTAGTATAGTCCACAAGAGGCCTTTTATCTGTTATCGCTTGGTGGAGACTTCGAAACTCCTTGTTGGTCTTCAGTTGCATCTTTATAAAAGTTGTCCAGTTGCCTGGGTTCTTCGAATCAGCCGCCTTGTCATGGCCCCGGAATGCTATTTCGTTTGTTGCAAACCAAATTACATACTGGAACAGAAGTTTAAAGTACTCTCTGTTGTTTTGAATTGTTTTCGCTTGGTCGGGAACCAGTTTCTCAAGTATACTTGTATCTTGTCCATGTGATATTCGGAGCCTTGCCTTCCATTTCTCGTAGCAAAATTTATGAACTTCTGATTTCTGGTGTTTCATAAAACCTTTGTCCTTGTCTAGGGCATTAGTCCACTTCCTAAAGCCAGTTACAGTAAACGTGGTGTCTGCATCGCTTTGAATGTTATGCTCTAGCCAATCGAAGCGGTTGTACCAGGTCGCATTGAAAGATCTTGTTTTTTTGCTTGGAAAGTTTGAATTTATCGGAAATTTCTGGAGCTTCGGTTCTGATGGTTTAATGTCCAATTCTTGACTGAGATCACAGGAGCTTGCTTGGCTAGTTTGAGGGGCGGATTCCTCTTGCGTCTCTTCAGGATCACAAATCGTATGAACTTCATCTGGTCCAGCATCATCTCATTCAGCATCATCTTGTTGAGTATCATGGTCATCTCGTTCATCTTCAAGTTCTTGATCAATTGGTTCGACATCTTCTAGTTGTGCATGTGGGTCTGATTCTGGAATAAAGTGATTAGCGAACATACAGTCGAGTCGGCCCAATTGGCCAAATATTGTGCGAAATGTTTTTTCACCTGAAATGTTTTGGAGAAGAAGCCGATCGAGTACGTACTTGCAAACTATGTCAAACGCTGGTTCTTGATTCCACAGACCCTAGGATTGATAACTGCAGTATACTGAAGGAACTGAAAAATTTATTATTTTCTAGTTAACTGTAAAATTATAGTTGTTCAAGCAGCAATAATAATATTCTTGAACTACAAGATCTTCTCTACAGTTTCTGTTAACCAGCATTTGTTGAACACTATTTCCAAAACAGCTCCTGTGCATGGCTTTTCCAACATCTCATCATTTAAACAATTACTCAAGCAAACATACCTGACTTTATTCAATGCATCCTTTAACACAGACTTCCCGTACACATGGTCACTGTCTCATGACTGCTCTTGCAATAAAAGCATTTACGCATGCTCAAAAGGGAAAAATTCATCCCGCCTAGCTGGGATGAAGTGTTTATATGGGAATTTTTCGTCCCGGCGGGATGAAGTGTTTATATGGGAATTTTTTTATCTCACTTATGCGGGATCCCGGCATCTGTTGCCGAGATCCTGTATATAAACACTCTTTAGGATTTGTATTACGAGCGGGATCTCGGTAGGCATCCCGTCCCGCCTGGATCATATAAACAGGCCCTAAATATTCTAATTCTACAGTACTTTCTTGCCATGGGTGGTTTTATATCAATACCTTAATCAATGCTTATGATTTCTTGCTTTTGTTTGTATAATAATTATAATAATGTCAGTGGTGAAGCTAACCATAGCAACAGGTTATGCTATGCAAGTTTTTAATGATTTGCATTATTTAAATAGATTCTGCACTCCGCAGGTTAATGTTAGCATAGCATATGACAGGTGCCTAACAACTTCATAATACATAGAAATACTAAGTCCGATTTTGTACCAATTATTGCTTTAAGCCAATCTTCAAGGCTAGCCCAACTGGTAGTACTGCAGAACAACTGTCTAAATAATCTGCTGATAGGGAGACAAAATGTATTTATTGACATTTTTTATTTAATATGTCAGCTTTAGATGACACCATTAATTGTTAATGATTAAGATTGTAGTCAGTCAGAACTGCAAAACCACATAATAAGAAAGAAATTGTGAGCATTATCAAAAAATGTATACCTTGAAATATAGTGACAATGTAGCCCGGCAGGATTATTTCATATTATGATAACAATGGACATATCTCGGAGATATAAACAGACCTCATACTTTGTATAAAAGTTGTAACTGCTGGTTAAAGAGTGCCAAGAATAGGAGGATGCCTTAATGGCAGTGACATCAGCATGCGGTACTAATTAGTAGATTCCAAATGAAAAATTAAATTAAAAATTACCCTGATCAAGAACAGAAATGATCTTGTATACTGGAACTGGAGTAATATCAAGTACAATCTTGTAAGACTGGTTTATGTCTTTTCTAGAGTATCATCAGAATGAACCATTTGGGTGTGAGTGTCTCACCAAATAGCGTTATAAAAACCCTTGATTGTGTGGGAGAAAATTTTGAAAAGAACAGAGTAGCTTGGAATTCAAAAATCATTACACACCTTAAAGAGGAACTTGAATTAACATCTCAAATAGAACAATTGAACAATGAAAAGAATGATTTACAGAAAAAGCTTGGCACACCTGGGCTTGGAAATGATAACAAAGAGCTCAACAAAGAATTAAAAAGAGTTTGTGATGATTACAATAAGGAAGAGGGAAAATTAGTATCTCAGAGAGGTGGACATCCTCCTACTTATTGTGCAGTCATTGATAACTTTGACCTTAGAATCGAAGCTGCAGACATGACCTCAGACAACCAGACGAAAGATATTCACTGGTGTAATCACAGTGTCATTTTGGACAAAGTTTCAGCACTTGATAGTGCAGATGAAAAACCCATTGCAAATATTCTTGATGTCCCAAATGCAACTTTTGTACCAAATGTTACTGATCAATGTAATATATTCAAAGATTTTATTGTCCTGGTCTCACGTGTTTTTCTTGAACATTTTTCAAAATTTCAAAACACATTCAAATATGTTGTTCCTCAGCATATTCAGCATAAATATTAGTAATGAAATGAGGAAGAGAAGTAAAAAATAAAACATGGGAATCATTTTTAAAAATGAAAACAAAGGGGAAGACATGATTGACATTGCTCGATATCTTCATAACCTAGTTCCAAGTGTTGGTCAGGAAAAGAATAAGAAATTTAGATGGATGCCTGTTGTAGGGGATCAGCTCACAATAGAGAGAGGAGTTGAGGCAAAGTTCAGTGTGTCAAATGCATATACACCAAGAAGAAGATTGGAAGGGATATATTTCCAGCTTGCCGATTGGCACCATGAAAATAAATTTCCTGATGTAATTTGAATCATTTCATGATTTAATGATTTAAATACTCTAATATCAAAATTTTTACAAGTATTATTTTTCTGTGCATTCTTCTGTTAAGTATTCTGGTTGTTGTAGTTTAGGTGACTCCCTACAATTTTTTAATAAAATTTAATATTAAGGATTATGTAAGAACATTTCTCCAATTATTATCAACTATAACAGTAAACTTAAGGTCTCTGATCTACTGATAAAGCAATATTTAAAGTGTTCAAAAGTTTTAAAATGAGTCGTTTAACTCATTCTCATCCGGTCGAAAAGTAGCAATTTCGAGTGGTGTTGTTTCAAACGCTTATATCTCTCAAATTATACATCGCACGGAAACAGAAATTGCATCGTTCGAAAGAGGAGGACTTCTGCTTTCCAACGATACCAATTTCAATTTCATCCGGAGCTTGGTTAACGATTTACTCGCATAAATTTGCATAAATTATGATATAAAAAAATGTTGCAATTATGCATAAATGTATTTAGCGGTTCAAATTTCAAATATGTCAAAAAATTTTATGAATATGACTAAAAGACACGGTTATGATCTACAAGTACCCGAAGTTTCATGCATGTAGCATAAATAGAAATATTTTTATTGAATTTTTATATAAACTAGGTAGTGGAGTAAAATTTACATTTTGTGCTCACATGAAACAAATACCTTTATCAAAGGTCCTTTTTTATTGCTGCAACAGTTATCAATACAAATTTCCAATATTTCTTACTCTCCAAAGATAGTATGGCACCAAAACAAGTCTGTGATACCCACAAAAGAACACTCGAATCATGATTAGCAAAATGTCTTTATTTCTACAATTACTACATACATTCTTAGATAATCATTACACCATTGACTTTAGTTATTAGTGGCATAACCAGCCTCAAAATTTGGTCATGCTATTCAAATTTGAAATAATCACTACTCATTTGTTTAGAAATTGATTGTTTTCACAATCTAGAACATGAAAATATTTGCAAATAGCATGACCAAGTGTTGTTGGGCTGGCATCATCATAATTAGTAGTTATAAAAAAGTAATGTTTTCCAAGGCAGTAATGTTTGCTAAAGCAGTAATGTTTGCCAAAGCACATAATTGGATTATGTGGTGAAAATATTTCCTTTATATTGTACTACAAAAGACCTAAGACTGTAACCAAACTGATATCAGATCACCACGTCATACCCAAATCTGTTGCGATGAATATCTGGACTTCTTCCTGTATAAATTTCAAAGTCGCAATATAACCATTAGGATTGTCTGCAGCAACCCACAGATTTATTCCCCACATAGTAGGTCATCTAGCTTTCATGAACTGCCTAACCCCCAACCTATTTCTTGATTTGACAGTGTGTTTGTCTGCAACAACAATATTCTGTGACGGCTGGTACAGTTGTTGATGCAGTTTATTGCTGTAGTCTTTAGTACAGGATCTACCATATTCACAAACGCCATAAGCGCTTTGTACCTAACCCGAGAAATTATGTCTATTGCCCACAGACCATGATATAAGGTTTTTACACTCCAATAATTTTAAATCTCACTGTCGACCTTCAGCAAACCTGCATATTATACTAAAAGGCAATCAACCTCTCAAGGTTGGTGGACTGCAAGACCCTTTTTTATTAGTATATGGGGATAACTTTTGAGTTATTTGTATGTGGGCATATGTATTGGTATGGCCAGGAAACTACCTCCTGAAGCATTCCCTTAGTAAAAAAGAGTCGAATGAACTCAAGCTCACAGTTCATTGAGCTGAATGAACTCAAGCTCACAGTTGATCGAAATGGATCCCGGACATGTCAGTCAGGAGCAAAATCTGGGAGAACATTCCTGGCGTCAGGATCATCATATCCGTCATGTACTATGGGGCCTAGTGGGGATGCTAGACAGGGAGCTTTCGAAACCTTAGGTCCTAATGGCTGGGCTTCCCTCTACCTCTACTCATCCCCCTACCTTCCCTCTGGGTTGGTGAGTGGGGTTCTCATGACTCATCAGAACTCTACTTCCCCGAGGCTATGAAACAGGAACAGCAGATAGGAACAGGATCAATATATTCATCAGTTCGAATAAAAACTTTTATAGACATGGTGCCACTTAAAATTATAATAAGAGCCAACTAGTAAGATATAAGTATGAATACTTGGCTATTATGTATGTAACAAAACAACCAAACATTGAAATAGAAATTGTCTAGAAATGATACAAATACTTGCCTTGAAACTCCAGACACGACTCCCAATGCCAGGTTGAGATACTTGTCTTCATACGAAGGCATTCCATCATTACTAGCACTATCAGTTTGCAAAATAAAGCCAAAAACGTCTTCAGAATGCGATTCAAACAAAACTACAACACAATACATTTCAACGCTCGTACGTTCTCGTGCGCGATAATCAGGAAAATTGCTCTAAAAGATTTGCTTTTCTGCCTAAGCCAATCAAAATCCGTATCTAGGGTAAACAAACACTCTGGAAGTGATTCCTGCAGTCTTTTACCAGGAAACTGTAATGCTTTACCAAGAATTTGGCGTCCGAAGTTGGCCGAACACTTTCCGATCACGAGAATTGCCATAATAGGCTTAGATTATTTCGCAATTTCCCGAGACTGCTCCGATCTATAGAATGGACGATGGCGATTCTTTTGGTATATTTGTTATTATTATACGTTGAAAAGAAGCAAAAAGACGAGCATTTGCAACCTCGTCCCCAGGGTCTTCCTCGTGGTGGCGCGTGAGCTGGGGAAGACCCTGGTAAAATACGATGAAATCTCCAAGATTCTTGGAGATTTATCGCATGCGCACTAACGACAACGTTATGTTGCTGACTACAATTAGCGCTGGCGCTTACGATTTTCTTGCTTAAAAATATACATGTTTTGTTGATTGTTTATGTATTTATTCTCAAAGTTTTAACAATTTTTACGAGAAATACTTCAGATATAAGCTGTAAACACACATGTACAAAAAACTATGCAACATTCATCATCATATTGTATCAATTTGTCGGAGTATGGCGCTCATATTTGTGACATCGTTTTGTTCGCTCTGGCAACCCTCGTATATATCAGATGCTATTCGGCTTCAAATGCGACTGAATAAACACTGATAGTGTTGCCTGGAATATGAAATGATATTGATTTATACTGAATTTATTCGATTTATTTTCACACGTTGCTTTCGCATTTTCTCAGAGTCTCGGAAATCACATTTTCTAACACAGTTTCACACATGCAGAAATACTTCTTCAGAAATCAGTTTTTAACATACAGAAAGACTTCATATTATCTCATCAGTTAATAAAATTATGATAACAGTAGAAATGCTTAGAAAGATTTTATTCTGTTTTCCATATACAGTACAACTGTAATTTCGATTTTCTCTTTACTATATTTTCTTTAAAG